AATGTTATCTTTATCTCCCCTTCATTCTTGAAGCATAACTTCACTGGATATGTAATTGCAAAGCTGACAGTTTTGTTCAGCACTTAAAAAATGTTGTGCCACTTCCTCCTGGGCTTCATGGATCTAATGAAAAATTGCTGTTATTCAAATCGCTTTTCCCTATTTGTAAGGTGTCATTTCTCTCTGGCTGCCTTATTGCCACTAGATAGTTGTGAAAGTGCCACCTTCTCATTTGGCTTCCACAAACTGGAAGGAAGAAGAGCAGTTAAGGTATAAAAGTTTTCTGTGTTTTAGAAAGTAGGTGTCCCTTTCCTGATCGTTTGATTAGAGAAAGTAGGCTTTCTTGGGAGCTTGTTTTTTCTTGTCTGTTGCTATTTGCATTTCTGGATTGCCAGCTTCTCCAGCATCCAGTCAAGGATATAAAAGTCAGAAGGAAACCTAGAGAACTCGCTGCTGTGATGTCTCTCAGATCAAAGGTCCTGGTCTGCTTTCTTCTCTCTGCCTTTTTGAGTCTCCTTATGTTTGTTTTACATATAATGCTCAAGGTTTTTAAGCTATATGTGCCCACCCTGGAGATTTTCATCTCTATTGAGTTTTTTATTTCCATGATTAAATTTTATATTTCTAATTGTTTCTTTTTATATCCACCTGTTCTTGTTTCACTGTAGCTAATTTTGTTTCAACATTTCCTGATTTTTAAAAAATGGATATGCTATCTCTCTTTGTGGGTACCAAATATTAAAGACATTTTCTAGTTGCTCTGAAGTTTTCATTTCATCTGGAGGGAATTCACCTTCCAATTGCTTTTTTGGCACTAATTCTTTTTTTTTTGAGGAAGATTAGCTAACATCTACTGCCTGAGCTAACATCTGCTGCCAATCCTCCTCTTTTTGCTGAGGAAGACTGGCCCTGAGCTAACATCCGTGGCCATCTTCCTCTACTTTATATGTGGGACACCTACCACAGCATGGCTTGCCAAACGGTGCCACGTCTGCACCCAGGATCTGAACCGGCAAACCCCAGGCCTCCAAAGCAGAACATGTGAACTTAACCGATATGCCACCGGGCTGGCCCCTGGCGATAATTCTTAAATGTTCCTTTTCTTCTTGTGTTTTGAGATTTTAATTTTCAACACAGAATGAAGAGAATTTCCCCTTCTATGCTTACCTTTCCTTGTTAATGTTCTTGAGTCTTTCTCCATTCAACACTACACAGTTTTAATCTAGAATCAGGTCTTAATTTGGACCCCAGGACTCCTGGTCCATGGTGATATTAGAAATGGAGCAGATGTGGTCACTGAGTCCATGGTGGCTTATCCCAAGTTATCCACTTTCTCCTGTCTCTCTGGTTACATGGATCAGCACTTTTTCCCAGCATAGCATATACCCTGCGTACATTAAATTTGACTTTATCTGCCAACTTATTTTTAATTTCTCTTATGATATATGTTGTCCTTGCCCATCTCTAGAAACCAACAGAGCAAAGTCTTATATCCTTGTTTTCCCTCCAAGATTCACTTTTGAACCACTTAAGCAATATTTATAAGAATTTGAATATCGGTACCATGAGCCCCGCTTTGGTTCTAATCAGCAAGCCTGGCTTTTGTTGCTTCCTTCACGTGAAGTCAATCCTTTTACTCATGGATAAGAACTCTCAGCTGACTCTGCCTGCTTCTCGATCCAAAGGCTTTCAGGCCATGGTTTCTTACCTGATTATTGCATTTTGCTTTTCTTATGTTATGGTCCATAGAGATGTTTTGACTACTTGTTGACTGTGATTGCGTCATTTTGGTCATCTCTTTTTATATTTAATCTGCCGTTACTATTGCTTTTGAGCAGAGGAATCTTTAAAGCATGAACTTACAACATTCTGTTTATTGGAAGTACTCTAGTTTCCACTAAACTGACTTTTTCTCTCACATTTCCAAAATAACTGCCTAAAATAAAGACTCAAGTCAATCTGTTATCTTAGTTCATCGAAGGTCTGTATCTTTCGGTATTATTCTAGAAATTGGTTCTCTCTTTACCAAAGCATTCTATATATGAGTCAGTGCTCTTCTGCAGCCAATATCCTGAATAAGTCATGTGTTTCCATAGGTTTAGATATTGTCTGAGGCTGATATCTATAAAAACGTACGTTAAATTTTACTTTCTCTTCCACTTATTTTTAATTTCTCTTATTATGATATATATTGTCCTTGCCTCAGATATCTTCTCAACCTCTGGAATCCAACAGAACAAAGTCAAATATCCTTGTTTTTCCTCCAAGATTCATTTGTGAACCACTTAGGCAACATTTATAAGAATTTGAGAGCCTTTACCATGGCACAGGAATCTGAGTGCCTTGGACCTAGCAAGCTGATTTCAGGAAACGGAAGTCATGTCCTTTGCCTTAACAAGATTGCAAACCAAATACTTGTTTGTTAAAACTATTTATTTAGCACCTAGTATGAGTAAGTAATTTCACTACAATTGTGTTTTGTAATATAGAGAAGCAGAAAAAAGAAGGTCTTATTTTATGAAAAATAGGCATTCAAATGTTTATTTGATAAGCTGTTATGTGTCAACTATGCTACTATCCTAAGAGCTGTGGAAGAATTGAAAATTGAGGCTAATCTTCATTCCTTTATAGGTTATTATGGAGATAAAACACTAATGACCATAGTACAGGGTATATAACGATGAATATTATAAGACTGGCATAGAGAAAGTGCTATGGGTATTGGGCAGAGGAAGCTGACTTTCAATTGGGCGTAAGGGAGGCATGAACTGGGAAAGATTTCTCAGAGGAGATGCCATTTGAACAGAACTTAGAAGAATGGTAGTATTGTATGAGGGAAGGAGCATTCTGAGTATGAGGAACAAACACACAGGATGAGCAAGCTGGAGGATATATATAATCAAATCGTACTGCTAGTATTTTCTTTTATACTTTGTTCCTTCTCTTTCCACGTGTAATCAGTAAATAAATCAAAGTCGAGAGTTCTCATTATCATTGGACTTGTTTAAAAATCATTTCACTCCTTGTTTTTTCCACTAACATATCTTTGCTTGCTTCGGCTAATTGAACTTTAAAATCTTTTCTTCATATCCTTAATTCCACCTTTTTTCTCTATCTCTTTACATTTAACATTTTAAAAAATTACATATGTTTTTAATAACACATTTTTTATTAAACTTCTTTTCACTTACATTATCTGCTTTCTAATAACGACTATATGGCGTTCTTCAAATCACATAGAGAATCCTGACAGTAACAACAAAAACATATTCACAGGGTGATTTCTATTTGCGTTTAGTGCTTTTTCTTTTTTTTTTCCTCAAGTTTTTATTGCTAGACACTTTTTTTAGACGAGTTTTAGATTTACATGAAAATAGAACAGAGGTCCCCTATTAATAATGTATTACATTAGCCATTAAAGTGTTACATCGTCACAATTAATGACTCAATATTAACATATAATTATTAACTGAAGTCCATAGTTTATTCAGATTTTCTTAGTTTTTACCCCATGCCCTTCTTCTGTTCGAGAATCTCAAACAGGATTCCCTGTTACATTTGGTTATCATGTCTCCTTGGGTTCCTCTTGGCTATGACAGTTCCTTAGACTTTGTTTTTGATGACCATATTAGTCAGGGTTCTTCAGAGAAACAGAACCAGTAGGATATATAGAAAGAGATTTACTCTAAGAGATTGACCCTGTGATAACAAAGGCTGAGAAGTTCCACAAGCTGTCATCTGCAAGCTAGAGGCCCAGGAAAACCAATGGTATAGCGTCAATCCAAATGCAAAGTCCTGAGAACCAGGGGGCCCGATGGTGTAAGTCCTGGTTCAAGTCTGAAGGCCCAACGGACTTGAATCAGGACTTGTACCATCGGTCCCCTTGGTTCTTAGGCCTTTAGATTTGTATTTAGCTTCTTCCTTTTTCTCTTCTTCCTTAAGTTGTAAAGTTAGGTTGCTGATTTGAAATCTTTCTTATGTTTTAATGTGGGCGGTTATAGCCATAAATTTTCCTCTTAGCACTGCTTTCACTGTGTTCCTTAAGCTTTCAAATATTGTGTTTATGATTTTTTCCTTTGATCCATTGGTTAAGAGTGTAGTGTTTAACTTCCACAAATTTATGAATTTTACAGTTTTACTTCTGTTATTGGTTTCCAACTTTATCTTGTTGTGGTTGGAGAAGACACTTTCATGATATCTATGTTTTGAAATCTATTGAGATTTAATTTGTGGGCTCACATATAGAAAAATATATAGAAAAGAGGATGCTGCTCTCTCAGAGTCAGAGTGATTGGGCTGAGTGGAAAGGGAAGTTTGTTCTGCTTAGCGGCAAGCTGGAGGAGATACAACAGAGGCTATGGGCAGTAGCCAGTGGCAGCAAAATCCATGAGAAGAGGAGGTTTTTTATGCCTTGGTACTGTGGGGTTGATGACACCAGCAGCTGTTCTAAGCACCATTTCCCTGGTCCCTTTTCTGGACTGCTGGAAGGTGGGCAGTCTGGGATTTCAGGAGGGATACTTTCTTTTTTTGTGGGAGGGAAGAAGATTGGCCCTGACCTAACATCTGTTGCCTGTCCTTCCTCTTTTTGCTTGAAGAAGATTGCCACTGAGCTAACCTCTGTGCCCAGCTCCCTCTATTTTGTATGTGGGATGCCACCACAGCATGGCTTGATGAGCGGTGCAGAGTTGGCACCCAGGATCTGAACCTGCAAACCCCAGGCCACCACAGAGGAGCTTGTGAACTTAACCACTATGCTTCCGGGTGGCCCCGAGGGATGCTTATTTTATTGCCTTTTTTAAACCTTTGGAAGAAGGTTGTCTCAGAAGGAAACCATCCCCTTTACCCTTGCTTTCCCTACCAGCCATTACGCTAAGCCATGGATATTACATAATCATAGGCAATTATTAAATCATTTTGATCTATGTAATTGAAAATGTTAATATGCATATTATAAGGAAGAATGTCACCTTTCTAATAAATTACATCCACTTTTCTTGCAGAAATAGATGAGAAGAGGGTGACCAACACACAAGCAGAAGTAAGTTTTCTTATATTTTCTATAAATGTGTTCAAATCAATTAAAAACACAATTAGTTTGATTAGATGTGATACAAAATATGATATCAATGTAACTGTGATTAAAAACAATTTAGTTTGCTTTTCCTGACTGAATAAATAGTAAAATGGTGTCATTAAATCTCTGCCTCTAGGTTACCCTTGTTTCTCTACCTATGAAATACTAATCCCTGAAAAAACTTCTAAAATAAACCATTGCCTTTAGAGGCAAGATATGGTATTGATAATTTTCTTTTCTTTTCTTTTTTTGAGGAGGATTAGCCATGAGCTAACATCTGCCCCCAATCCTCCTCTTTTTGCTGAGGAAGATTGGCCCCTAGCTAACATCTGTGCCCATCGTCCCCTACTTTATATGTGGGATGCCTGCCACAGCATGGCTTGATAAGCTGTGCATAGGTCTGCACCTGGGATACAAACCCATGAACCCTAGGCCGCCAAAGTGGAGTATGCAAACTTAACTGCTGCGCCACCGGGCTGGTACAAGTATTTATAATTGTAATTGAGTGGCTGGATCTATATGACCACCACAGGCTGGGGTCAGCCAATATTGGAATCCTGGAGCAAGAAGATGGGGACAGTCACCTCATAAAGGGTCTTCTGGGGAATGGAGCCAAGAGCAAACCCTGAGGCCAGAGTCTCCACATATACATGTAGGAATTAAGATAGAAAATATGAACCGGGGGAGGCTAGGAGAGCTGGTAATGTAGAATATATAGAAGATAAGGAAGTGAGTAAACTTGCACCCAGAAATGGAACAAATAGTGAGTAGGACGTGTGCAGATTTAATAGTCAATTCCCATGGCCGATGAGCAGGCATATAGAAACACTCAGAGGAAAATGTAGAAAGAACAGAATACCAAAAAGTCTCTCTCAAGACTTTTCTAAAAATTTACTGGGGTTGAAAATGCTTTGAAAACTAAACTCTTAAATGAATATAAAGTATTTTTCATTACTTAATAAGTTTTACCCCTATGTTACTGAACAAACTTTTCTGTAGAATTAGTTTTCTACTTGAAATTAATTTTCTACTTGATTTTTTGAACATGTATGGAAATAAACATAAAAGAAATCCCAGAAGTGATTGCTTCTCAGAATCAATCAGACGTGACTGAATATCAGTTGAGTGACCGGATGTATATGTATAGCACAGTCGAAGTACAAGGAAATATCAATCATCCACATGTTTAGGTTAGTGAAGAGCTGCCCTGCCTGCACCTGTGCATGATAGCGGGTACCAAAACATTCTGTTCTACAGCAATTTGCTTGTACCATTTGCTGGGTTGATATGGATTTGGCAACTATTTTGTTGAATTTTTCACTTTTTAATAGATTGTATTTGCATCTGGTAAATACCAACATCTTGATGATACGTTCGAGGGCAATTAAGCTTTAGTACATATGAGGAAAGATTCCTCAATTTCCATTTAACTTTATGAAATAGTTTTTAGTTTTTTTCATACTTTGTACATTATTTTCTTCCTAATATACATGGAAAGCCTAGAACAATCCTCCTGAAGTGACTCATAACTATTTATACCTGAGCTTTTCGAAGCAAAATAATTGCTCCAGGGGCTGGCCTGGTGAAGTAGCGGTTAAGTTCGCACACTCTGCTTCAGTGGCCTGGAGTTCGCAGGTTCAGATCCTGGGTGTGGGCCTACACACTGCTCATCAAGCCATGCTATGGCAGCATCCCATATACAAAGTAGAGGAAGACTGGCACAGATGTTAGCTCAGGGACCATCTTCCTCAAGCAAAAAGAGCAAGATTGGCAATGGATGTTAGCTCAGGGTCAATCTTCCTTACAAACAAATTGCTCCAGACACTAAAACTCATACCTTTGCCAGACTGAAATATAAATCAACACATTATTAAAAAGGAGTCTTTGACATAAGCTGACTGGAGTATTGACCACATATGTATTATTTATTTTACTAAATAAATAACATATATACGCATACACACACACACATATATATATATGTGTGTGTGTGTGTGTGTGTATAGAGAGAGAGAGAGAGACAAAGAGAAAAACCGAGACAGAGAGAGAGATGTTCATACTACTATTTGTGGTTTTGACCCTGAAATATGTTCCTGTGTTCCTATTTTTATCATTTTTAATGCAAAAATGTCTTCTTAAATAAATTAATCCTGACTCAGTGTGCTTAGGTAAGAATGTTAAATAGCAGTTTTGTTAGGAAAGGACTTATCTTTTGAATATAAAAAAGAATATTATCTTAACATTGTAATTCAAAGTAAATGAAGACATTAGATTGGACATATCAATTCCAGCGGTTATGGATTGGTATTACTTACCAAGAACCCTCACTATTCCTCCGGAACCACTCAACAATCTATGAACGAGTATAATCATCCCATGGACATTGCATTTGGAGTATATTTTGTCCTGGCATTTATGCTTTTCTCTCAAATGGAAAGGATTAGTGTCTCTTTTTCTCTTTCTTTTAAAAATAAACTCATGTTACTAGGTGAGAAAATAATTTCAAAACTTCAGTGGATGAAGTTGTATGATAAAATAGCCCCCTAGCTTCTTATATCTCCTGAGACTGTGATATCAGTGAACACATATATATAATTTCTCATTGATTAGCATTCTATTTCATGATGGGGAAATCAGAAAGCTCTTTGAAATATGACACAGTGTTTATTTCTCTCACAAGGCTGATGGCATTGTACTTTTTGTCCAAATATAAGACTTGCTTTTTTCTGTTTGTCCACAGTCACAGAATGCATCCCCTAAGCAAAGGAAGCAGAGTGTGTACACAGCACCCACCATGAAAGGTACTGTTCAGGTACTGTTTTGGGTTGTCGTGAGTGTTGAGTTCACGGCTGGCAGGCTCACTGTTCTCAAGGACCACATGCTTCATTATAAGCTAGATCCACTCTCAGCTCTACTACATAGTAATGTGTCTTTCAGTAAAATACTTTATCCATTTAAAATTTAGTTTCATCAAGAGTAAATAGGTGGTTGAAGAAGAAATGACTAGAGATGTCTCAGAATCTCAGTCTGGAATTCAGATTTTCCAAAATAATGACAAAGGTTTTTCTTTTACTCTTCCTCACATATTTTCCTTGAAGAGATTTTTCCAGAATCCCTAATTACTCTTGCCAGTGTTGGCAGATGATTGTTATTTCTTTCCTGGCTTAAGCGAAATAGAATAACTTGAATTTGGGGCACATTTAATGTAAAGTGTTGCCTCACTGCCTTGAGTCAGGAGTAGCTCTAAGAAACCCAATCAAATAGCTATTAGCTCTACATGTAACAGCTGTTGAAATAAAAATTAGCAAGGCTAGCTCAGATTTTCCCAGAATTTTCCCCTAAAATTGGAACTACTGAAAGAACATCTAAGTGTATCAGAATTTTTACCAACATCAATTCCAGGGAAGGCTTCTTTTATTTCTCACACAAAAACATTCCTGACATGAGGCAGTGTGTTGAATCCAGTAGCTCATGTTCCAGTCTGGTACTTGGGCAGTTGGCCCAGTGGTTCCTCATGCAATCATCCAGCTTGATTTCAGCTACAGCAGAGGCCAGCTGAGCAGCTTCCTCTGGAGTCTGGAGAGATGTCTAAATTGGGAGTGAAATTTTCCACTCTGTATTCTCTCTCGATTTGGGGCCTTTTCAGGGAGGTGGGATATAAATGGACACATTAATAGCTACTTTCAATAAACTTCCTTCCTGTGCAGCTATAAAACTCCACGTTTGCTTATTCGTAAGACTGCAGTAAATAATGCAATCATCAGCACTGTAGTTTATTGCAGGGTAATTATTGAGACTATCAGGCACCCTCTGTGAAGATAAATGTAATCATTTTGAAGATATTTTCCCTATTGTAAGTCATCTCGGACTTTTAAGACACGTCAGTTTTGGCATGAATGGGCAACAATGAAAGATATATGTTCACTCATTTAATGATTTCCTCTGTTTTATTTTGGGTTGGCTTAACTAAATAAAGTAATCCTGTTTTTATGTCCTCAGAGAATAATAGTATTATTTTTAAAGGAAAATCTTAAAATCGAGGCCCCAGGGGCTCATGGTTTTCATTATATTTAGCTCTCAAATATCATAAGAATGTGGGATCCTAACATTTAGGGAAGTTAGTCACATGGCACGTTTTTACATAAAACCTTACTACTGTTGATCGGTCCAAGAAGGTCATTCAGTGATCATCATTTTTGGTCATGAGTCAAAGGTTTGAGAAAGCACGGTAATTCTTGCAGGAGGCCATCAGTGTTATTACAAACCACTTAGGCCCCATTTAAAACCAGTAAATACCTGGGTAAGTCTCCTGCTTCTAATGAAAGAAAAGATAAAGTTAAATCCACGTTTTATTGTCCACCCCCCACCAAGAGCTAGAAATGAATATCTCAAGACAAAATTAAGCAATGGTAACATACAGTGTATTATGAGCACATAAAAAAGCTTCAATCATAAGAAATATGAATTAGCAAAGGAAATGTTATTGAGATGCTAAACACAATAATACAATTGCTCTGAAATGTATAATTCTTCAAATTACAGTAGAATGTGCCATTATTGAGTGTAAAGAAGTTTGCTAGGAAAGCAAAACAGCAACAGATGTGATAAACAGCTCTGAAAAAAAACATTCTGACAAAAAGGCCAACTAGGGCTTCATGAAGCACCCAGTGAGTAACTGGTTAGTAAAACATAACAAAACGAAAGAAAATAATACAAAAAAAAACTAGCCAGACTCCTTTCTCCTCTCTCACGAGGTTGTGAGGAGTTACCAGTACAGAAGCCTAAGTAGTGGGAGGGGCGAGATGCTAAATCCCACCTATGCCATTTCAATTAATGCATAGACAGACAAGTCTCCTATCTCCCATGTTCACTTATTTTTTCCTCTTTCAGTTACTATGGTACTTATGGCTCCACCAGGTTCCAGGAAATAAACACGTGTCCAGGTTACCTCTTGTGAAGAGGGTTTCATATGAAGGTACGGTGGGGAAGAAATAGAGCAGAGGAAACCATTTTAACAGGTTTACCATCAGGGCCAATATGCTGATGACTCCCAAATTCAGATCTGCAGTCCCAACGTATCTCCTGAACTTCAGACTCCCATTTCCAACGAGCTACCAAATTTCTTCACTTGAATGTTATTAAGCTTCTCAAATTTAATATGTTCAAAACCAAACTTCTTGGCTCTTGTCTGCTTTTCCTCATCTCAATAAATTGTATCCAGCTGTTAAGAACAAAAACCTTTGTGTAATCCTTGACTCCTCTCCCTTACCCAACCCATTGTCTGCTCTTGTGAGCTTGAATTTCAAAGTGCATCCCTTATGTGACTACTTCCTGTACCTTCCACTGCTCCACCTTGTGCAAGCCACCAATCTTTCTGGCCTGGACTGCTGAGGTAGCCTTCTTACTGGTCTCCCTGCCTCTGCTCTTGCCCCTCTACAACTTAGTCCCCACACGGAAGCCAAAATGATTCCTCCAACTCACAAATGTGATCATGCCATCCCCTTTATCAAAATCCTCGATGGCTTCCTGTCAAATTCAGAATAAAACTGAAATCCAACCATGGCTTCTAAGTCCCTCAATGAGCTGCATGGGCCTCTCTCTTTGACCTCGTCTCCTTTCACACTGTCCTTTGTTCACTGGGGCTCAACCTCATGGAGTTTTTCACTAATTTTAAACATGCCAAACAGACTTCCATTTCAGAGTATTCGTATTTCCGTTTTCTCTGCCTGGAATGATCTTTACCCTGTGACTTCATAGGTGGCTCAGGTAACGTTACCTCCTCAGAGAGGCCTTTCTTTCCTGATAATTGTGCCTCCTACCATCACTACCTATGTCCTTACACACTGCCTTAGTTTTTCCATAGCACTTATCATGATGTACCTAGAATCAGATGTCCATGACAACGGTTTTGTTCATTTGAGTATCCCCAACACCTAGAGTGGCTCCTGGCACATAGTAGGTACTCAATAAATACTAGTTGAATAAATGAATTATTATGAACTGGGGAATCCAGCCACATTGTCATCTGCTCAGAAGTGGGTATCTCTTGAGCCTTGTTCTACTAATTATCATATTTGTGACTCTGCTTCTGTTTCTCTTTGCTTCTCTCTCTGATTCTCCCTTAACTTTTGTGTTCTTACTTATGCATATGCTTCTATTTTTCTAGTCATACTTTTTCCTATTACACTCCCCTCTGGTCAGAGGGAAAATCTGATTTGCTAAATTAGTTACCATCCAGAATGGTGCATTGGCTGGGCTCAATTTTTAAGAAAAGTCATCTCACAGACCCCTGGACCCTTTAGGTGGTGGACTTTGGCTAGGGTCTGTTTCCTGGGTCAATTAGTTCATGGCCAAGGTGACAGTCATATGACACAAACATGGCAGTATAAATAGAAGGGTCTAGAAACGGCTTTCTTCCTCCAGATATGTTTCATGGCTTGTCTAGCACATTTACTCCTGGAAAGTAATAGTAGATTTAATACTTGGTCTGGCCACCTTTCTAACTATAACATTATAGGCACTCAAATTTGCCAAGGAGCTTAAAGGTTAAGTAGTGCATTCATCCAGCGATGACTGAATTTTTTCTACTGCATCTAAACTCAGGGTATTAAATTGGCTATATTCTCTTGAAGACTCTAATATATTAGGCCTGGGGTGGAGCCAGATAATCAAAAGTTCCAGATGATTCTTCTGCAGCAAGTCTAAAGGTTGACAGACTCAGATATCCGATCACTTACCTGTCTTTCTTGTATCGTAGGTAGATATCTCATAGAGATCAAAGAGATCATAAGATCAAAATTAACATCTTCAAAACTGACCTTTCAATCTTCTCCACAACAAATCAGTTTGTCTTACACTGGTCTTCTTCTCAAGAAGTAGAATTTCCATCTGCCTGGGTGCTTATCCCTGAGTTCTGGGAGTCTCCAGGGACCTTCTCCCTCTCTTTCATGCTCTTCCACAGCAGCGCGCCAGGTCATGCCCCATTAGCATCTCTCCATTTTCTCTCTTCTTTTATCACCAGTACCACCACCATATTTCAAGTCACGTTCATCTCTTTGCCAGGATATAACTGGTTACTCTTCATCCAGTCTTTCTCCTCTCACTTCCTATCTGTTTTCTATGCTGCAGCCAATGTGAACTTTTTAAAACACGGAGTGATTATGCCACTTCCTTGGTTAAAACCCTAGTAACTCCCAATGCCATTAGATAAAATTCCCGTTTCAGAGCAAAGTTTCCAAAGCTTACTGCATGATGGCTCCAATATTCCTTTCTTCCTCTCACCCACTATGTGGCCCAGCCACCTTGGCATTCTGCCAGCTTCTGAATGCACCAAACTTTTGGCTGATTCAGGAAAGAGTTTGCATAAATTTTTCCCTTCACCTAGAATATTCTCTCTTGGCTCCTCTTTGTCCTCATTCTTCATTTGGCTAATTCCTACTCATCATTCAAGTCCTGTCCTTAAAGGTCATTTCCTGAAAGGAGCTTTCCCTAGCCCTCTATTCTAAATTCCCTATAGCTATAATTCTCTATTGATAGTTATAAATTCTCGGTAGTTCTTTCATTGCAAGTAATCAAATGTCCAATTATTTACTTAGTGTCTGTCTCTCCAACTAGAGCAGAAGTGATCTATGTGGCAGCCGCCACAGTGTCTATTTTGTTCACTACCGTATCTGCAGGGCTTAACATAATGCTTAGGACACAAGCAGTGCTTATAAATATACTTTTAAATTATAAGTAGAAGTATTTAAATTTTAAAAATAATAAGTATATTTTATAAATTTTGTAGTATAAGTATTTAAAT